CCACCACCACCACCACCACCACCACCACCCACCATCACCACTCACCACCACCACTTACCACCACCACTCACTACCACCACATACCATTACCACCCATTTTAATTAAACAAATTTTAACAATTTTTGAAAAAAATAAATTTTCAAAAAAAATTACATTTTAATCGGCCATTTTGAATCGGCCATTTTTAAATAAAATCACGATTTCTTAAAAAACAGCCACATAATTTATCTTTAAGATGAGCCCAGAAAGAAGTCTATATCTTTATTTTTCTGGAAGATATGAATTTTTAATCATTGGGGAAAAGAGGCTTCAACGTAGGTAACACGGCAATTTGAAGATAGGATTGAGGAGGGGTGTTAACTGTATAAAGCAATTTATACTTTTACTTTTATTTTGAAATTCCCTCTCAGTTCTTTACATTAAGTAGACGTTGGCAACTGGCACCATTTATTTTCTTTCCGGTTGGTATTACTATCTAGAAGTTTCTCTTTTCTCTCTGAGGGCGCCACGACTGCCCTTCTTTCTTACTCTCTTCTCTCGCGTTGTTGTAAGCGTTGTAACGTGCGTGCTGGACTGATAAAATAAATTGTACTGTTGTTAGCAAGTAATTTGTGTGTACTGTTTCCTTCCTGCGCACCTGTCATCAATTCGAGACATATCAACGGTTTAAAACACGTATTTTTATACATTATAAAAACGTATCGGCTAAACATTTTTTTAAACATTTATTAGACGTAGCTGTGTTGCTTGGGTAAGATGTAATAAAATGCGGGCACGCCAAGTTTTTGCTTCACTTTGATCCCATTGGTCATTTTAATCACTTTAAACCTGTTTTATGAAACTTAAAAATATTTTGAAAGACAATGGCGTTAAACTTTTACTGCATCTACTTTTGGATGGTTAAACGGTTTGTTAAAAAACTATTTTTGTTTCTATGTCTAATCAAATACTTGGAAACTTGATCTCATATTTGTTTTTGGACAATTTTTATTTGGTTAATAATATTTTTGGTTTAGGAAAGATGTAACGTACGATACTTTTTTATATATTTGGCGTAATCTTTTTCTTTTTTTTAAAGATTTATCTATCTAGAAAAATTTTCGACCGATATTCTTTTTGGAGTATTTACTGCTACATTCGCAAATATTCACTTCCGCGTTACAACGAATAACGATCGCTTGAATTGTCATGACGAGAGTTAATCGCAACATTGATTTTACCAAATGCTTTTATAATCTCTGAATGTCAAAGTTGCGACGAAGTAATGCTACAATCTTGTTATAAAATCTACGTAATAAACCATTATCAAAAAACATGCAGTTCTCTATCCTGCAGTGGAACATATTGATTTGAATGGCACGATTTTATTTTCTAAAAATAGTAATATGGTCTTTTCTGCAACACTTTTAAATCTGTGATGTATATTGTATATTTAATTGATGTGTATTGTATAATTGCAAGGTGCACATGTATTCCACATATTAATAATTTTGTATATATAATTTTTATTGTAGTGTTTCTGGTAACGTCGTACATTTTTTGCATAAGATAAAAATGTTATTTATGTTTGATTAAATATATGTTTATACATTTATACTGAATATTATTACAACATAAGAAATAAATACTTGTGAAGTACGAAAATATATCTAGATTTAAATATTTCTTATTCTATATACTTATTCTATACACTTCTATATATTTGGTGTCTTATGCATTGACACGAAATAATAAACATATAAGTTAACATAAGTTGAATTTTAGTAAACATTAAGAGAAGAAA